GTGTGAACCCGGCTAAGTGAAGCCAAACCCAGGAACCCAGCACTCAGTTCAGGTCTCCTCCGTTACTGGTGGGAGCTAACTGTTGGAGCCATCGTCTGCAGCCACCCAGGAAATACATTCATAGGAACCTAGGATCGAGAATGAAGCTGGGGTCTGGTGTTGTAGCCTAGTGGCTGAAGTCCTCCCTTTGTATGCCCCAGGATCCCATATGGGTACTGAGATCCCGTATGGGCGCTGCTTCGTGTCCCCACTGCTCCCCTTCCCTCCACTCCCTGCTTATGGCCTGGGGAAGCAGTAGATGGTCCAAAGCCTTGGGACCTTGTTGCCTGCATGGGAGACCAAGAGAAGGCTTTGGATCAGCTCGGCTCTGGCCATGGCGGTAGGATTCTTCTGTCTCTCCTCTTTGTAGATCTGCCTTTTCAATAAAAATAAAAATTTTTTTTTTAATAAAGTAAGGGCTTGAATTCAGCTACTTCAACATGAGCTTCAAGCAGTAACCGCTGTGCTGTTCACCCTAAACTCTACTCCTCTCGTGTGACTTCACTCTGCATACCTTCTTCATACCCACAGTCAATGGGAGAAAGACATCGTACCATGTCCTAAATGTCTGTTACGCCCAAAGAACTAGTTTTACTCCTCAAATCCAGGGCTGGTGGGGGGGAACAGAAGTCTATGACATGATGTGAATGCTGAATCTGAAAGTGACTTCCGCAGGGCCACATGGGCTACCAGATAAATCCAGATCGGCTTGATCCAAAGGCTAACCTAGCCAGGGGAGGAGAGGGCGCTCTCCCATTTCAGTTGTTGCCTCTTAGAGATGGCCACCATGAGAAAACCACCTGCTTCCAAAGAAGGCCGAGTGGGAAACGCAAGCCCTCTGCACTGCCCATGTCACCTTGGCAGTTTCAGATGTGTGACTTGTGAAGAGAGAGGCTTTTTCCTTTGATTGGCTTGAGTGTGGTAGGAGCCTGCCCAATGTCCAAAGAGAAAAGCTGACCCTTGTCCTTGTGTTTTTATGTAACTTCTAACTTTCCTCTTGTTAGCGGTGTGATGGTGTTAGCCAGTCGCGAGCAGCCTACAGCTCAGTGTATATGTGGAAAGAATATTAGGTGTATTAAGAGAAACTAGTTGGGCCCGACGCGGTGGCGCAGTGGTTAAGGTCCTCGCCTTGCACGCCCGGGATCCCATATGGGCGCCGGTTCTAATCCCAGCAGCCCTGCTTCCCATCCAGTTCCCTGCCTGTGTCCTGGGAAAGCAGTCAAGGACAGCCCAAAGCTTTGGGACCCTGCACCCACGTGGGAGACCCGGAAGAGTCTCCTGGCTTGGGATCGGCATAGCATCGGCCGTTGCGCTCACTTGGGGAGCGAATCATTGGATGGAAGATCTTCCTCTCTCTCTCTCCTTTCTGTATATCTGCCTTTCCAATAAAAATAAATCTTTAAAAAAAGAGAGAAACTAGTTAAATCTCATTAACTATATATGTATGCACAGTTTTGTACCCATTCCTATATCCCCCATGTAGCATTAAGACATCTAATTTTAAAATGTGTGTAACCCCAGCACAGTAGCCTAGTGGCTGAAGTCCTCGCCTTGCTTGCACCAGGATCCCGTAATGGAGCTGGTTTTAACTCCGGCAGCCACACTTCCCACCCAGCTCCCTGCTTGTGGCCTGGGAAAGCAGTCGAGGACGGCCCAAAGCCTTGGGACCCTGCACCCACCTGGGAGGCTCCTGGCTCCTGGCTTCAGATCAGCTCAGCCCCAACTGTTGCAGTCACTTGGGGAGTCAACCAGCAAACAGATCTCTCTGTTTCTCTTCCTCTCTGTATATCTGAGTTTCAAATAAGAATAACTCTTCAAGAAAAAAATTAATAAGTGGAGTGAGTAGGATCTGTATTATTTGTAAGGAATGTTAAGAGGATTACTGAGATATGGAAGCACAAACTATTTTTACAAACTCATGTTCAAATTGAAGAGAGCGATACACAGAAAGCTGAGACTGCCCGATGGGGGACTGAAGGTGTGTGCAGAGGGAGGGAAATGGCAACAGCGCACTCAGGGAGCAGCAGGGCCTGCTGGGACAGGAAGAGCTGAGGCTGCACTTGATAACTTAGAAGCCGGAGCCCTGTCAGACATACCCTACATGGCTGACCTTTGCACAGTGTCAGTCCGCAAAAGGCTCTGCAGGCGGGAGCAGGGTGCTACGATGCTCCCAAAAGGGCATCTGTAGGGAGACATGGCTCTCCCACTTACTCTATCCGATCCCTAAGCCAACAGAGGTTGAATAAAAGCAGAAAGGGGCTGGCAGTGGCCTGTGGTGACCCCGCAGGGACTATTTAAACCAGCTGCTGTCATGTGGTAACACAGCAGATGTCTGGTCTGGCCTGCATGTTGCCCATCTGCCCACGGTTTGCTGTTGCAGCGAATCTCAGCCTGTGGATGCTTTTTCACAATCAGCTTGTAATTTATGTTGGAATGTGACAGACTGAGAAAAATGGATCAGAAAAAGAACAGGAGCAGGAATAATGCCGATACGTTTCATGATATTTAGTGAATCCCATTTCTTCTAACTCTCAGAACTTAAATTTTTCCTCTTCAATTGTCCTATGTACAGTGCATTTGCCAGCTTTATCAAGTGCCTCTAATAACAGGAAGGCATAGGATACTTTTTAAAGATTTGTTATTTTTATTGGAAAGTCAGATTTACAGAGAGAAGAAGAGATAGGGAGAAAGATCTTTTGTCTGCTGGTTAACTCTCCAAGTGGCCACAACAGCTGGAGCTGAGTCGATCCAAAGCCAGGAGCTTCTTCTGGGTTCTGCCAAGCAGGCGTAGGGTCCCACTGCTTTCCCAGGCAACAAAAAGGGAGTTGGATGGGAAGTGGGACTGCCGGGATTAGAACCAGTGCCCATATGGAATCCCAGAGTGTGCAAGGTGAGGACTTCAGCCACTAGACTACAGCACCGGGCCCGGGCATAGGATATTGTAATTGGAATGTAGTTCTATCAATTATTCATTCATCCTCCAAATAATTGGAAAAACTAAGTATAAAACTACAGGAGCTTTTTAAAAAATTTTTTTTAATTTTTAAGGTCTTTTTAAACTTTTTATTTTAGATGATGTTTGCATAGTTGATCAGGGTGGGAAGGAACGAGGGTTAGGGACGGGTGGGTGTGATCGTTGTTTCCAAATTTTCTATTTCTTTTTCCTATATCTGGGGGAAATCAGGAGATAAGGGGAGAGGCCATACCCAGCCTCCCACACCCAAGCTAGAGGAGCTTTTAACTAACTGGGGCTTTATACTCACCACCTAGGCCTCGTTACAAACTCCTCATTAACGCTCTGATCACTTGGGGGCCGGACGGGCCGGGGGGAGCGGCCCTGATGCCAGCCTTGAGGAGAGTCACTGGGGTGTCTGTTTCCCCCTTGTAGAGAATCCACACCTGTCCCAGTTGCCAAGTTCACTGCCAAATTAAAATCGCAGCTATTTTGGGGAATTCTTAAGCACGTCAGGAAAATGAATGAGCCCATCCTGGCTTGTACGCTATCACTGATATCCCACTTAAAGCATGTTGCGGAATTCCTCACAGAAGCCCGTCTATAGTTGCAGTTTCCTTGACAAGCTTGGAGCTGTCCTTACAGCTCTGCATCCCCTCCACCCCCAGCACCCCCAACCCCGCCGCCAACACCCTCACCAAATTGAGACAGATACCAGCCGAGTAATCTCTATTGACCCTCCCCTTCCACTCCACCTTACCATAAGGAGATCCAGATTCTTCTAGAAAATCTGAAAGCCATATCCCCATTTCCCAATGATATAAATAGAATATGCTGCAGGCTGTGGTAGGTGGTGACTCCCCCAGGTGGACTGGGAAGCAGATCGGCCTTGGCCGACATCATCCTCTAAATATAAAGATGAGTTTGTTCAGCTTTTGCATAAGGAAAAGCGATTACCTTTCTTGAGGGTATCGCCCCTGTCCTCTCTGTTGGGAGAAAGGAGCAGCCCTTCACCTGCCTCCACCTCCAACTAGTCCTGCCAGTCACCCTTGAGGAACTCAGGTTGTCAGTGCCACCAGGGACTGGGGGTGGGGTCAGGCAGGAAGAGGACTCAGCACATCCTATAGTGGCCCTGTCCGTCCTGGAGAAAGAGACCCATCTCACCCTCACGGGCTTTGGAAAGCCTGGAGAGCTGACTGCCCCGTTGAGGCGGACAGCTCCTGAGCCTGTCTGAGCGGCTGGCTGGCCTGTCCTCGGGAGCCCCCACACCGCCTGCCCACACCGCCTGCCCACACCGCCTACCTCAGCGTCGGGCTGCCAGTTGTCTGCCCTGCGACAGCTGCACCCCTAGGGCCAGCCGGGGCTCTCTCCGTGGTGGGGGAGGGGACCCACTTTGGTCAGCCATCTGAATACCAGGGAGGGGGAAATGGAATGGACTGGCTACTCCAAGCTTGCCTAGCTTTCTTAAAGCCTTTGGTGCCAGAAGTGACTTTTCCAGTCGTCCCAAGCCCACCACTGCAGACTGCTCTGTCTCCCAGTCTGAATAAAGAACCCCAAGTGGGATAAAATACTAGTATGAGAGACCATGGGTCAGGCACCTTTCCAAATGCCCTGTGCACAGAGTGGGTCGGGATGGAGAATCCTTTGGGACAGGTGCAGCTCTGGGAGAGCAGGCTCATACAATGCACCCAGAGGCACACGCGGTGACCCTTGCCCCACCCCACCCCTCTGGCTGACAACTGAACCGGGTCAGGAGGGGCAGAGGCGCTGGTGAGACACTCCATATACGGCTCGGCCTGCGTTACCTGGGCTCAGGCCAGCCCTTTCCTTCTATGGTCAGCACAGGACACCCGGGCGGGGGCATGGGGCACTAACCCGCCTAGGGAGGGGGCTCTAGTGCCCAACACCCAAATATGGCTCGAGAAGGGCAGCGACATTCCTGCGGGGCGGCGCGGAGGGAGTGCCCGTGGGTTATATAAAACCTGGGCAGGGGGACACTCGGCCACTGCAGCGGACAGCGCTGAGTGAAGTCTGAGCCGGAGCACAGCAGGTGTAGCCGCTCACTCAGGTAGGGCAGGAGTTGGGGAGTGGGGCGAGGGGACCCGAGAGGACCTAGAGCAGCCTGAAGCACGTGCGCTGAGCAGGTGGTTCGGTCCCCAGAGGCAAAGCACTTTAAAGGGGAGTCAAGGAGACAACTGGCCTCTGGAAACCTGTCTGAATTTATTTCCAGCCTCTTTGCACTGTTGTGTCTGGCACTGCGGGTGTGCCTAGGAAGATTACGTTTACTGAGGTGTGGCTGTGTGTTAGTTCTCCTAGATTGATTCTCTTCCCTAGGGAGGAGAGTGAGCAAGAGCCACTGCTCACTGGACCATAACAGGTGCAAGAGTCCCACCTTAGATTGGGGCGCCCAAGTCCTTTCCATGGGCAGCTCCTGGCCAGTGGGCAGTTTCCCAGCCTCAGCCCTCTCCTTAACAGATGAGGCACTGAAGCATACAGGGGGTGGAAACTAGAACCTACTCTTAAAGCGTGCAGGGCAAAGTCTCCGGGTACCACCGGTCGTGGTCTCAGTAAGGGCTTGAGACCCTAAGCTCCTCTGAGCTAGGCACCACAGCCTTGAGCCCCGGCCAAGGTTGGGCAAAGCCCTGTAACCGCTGCCCTAGCGGGATGCAAGCAACTGGAAAAGTGACTAGGGCACTGAGGGGGACGGCGTCAGGGTCCCGCCGGGGCCGCCGCTGGCTGGGCACCTTCACCGACGCGCCTGCGTCCCCACTTTATCCGTGATTGCAGAAACCAAACAGCATGTGCGACGAAGACGAGACCACCGCTCTTGTGTGCGACAATGGCTCTGGCCTGGTGAAAGCCGGCTTCGCCGGCGACGACGCCCCTAGGGCCGTGTTCCCATCCATCGTGGGCCGCCCCCGTCACCAGGTCAGGCTGTCCCTTCCGGGAGGGAGCCGGGCCGGAATCCCAGCGCCCCGCGGCACCGCACTAACGTGTGTGTGATGTCTCCTCCGGTTCCCAGGGCGTCATGGTGGGTATGGGTCAGAAAGATTCCTACGTGGGAGACGAGGCTCAGAGCAAGAGAGGTATCCTGACCCTGAAATACCCCATCGAGCACGGCATCATCACCAACTGGGACGACATGGAGAAGATCTGGCACCACACCTTTTACAACGAGCTCCGCGTGGCCCCCGAGGAGCACCCCACCCTGCTCACCGAGGCACCCCTTAACCCTAAGGCCAACCGCGAGAAGATGACCCAGATCATGTTTGAGACCTTCAACGTGCCGGCTATGTACGTGGCCATCCAGGCCGTGCTGTCCCTGTACGCCTCCGGCCGGACAACTGGTGAGTGCCAGCCCAGCCGCGCAGGGTCTGGGCGCGGTTGAGGCCTCTCCCCGCTCCCCGGTGCCCCGCCTGGACCCCCGCGTCCCCAGCCACTAGCTCCCGTGGGCCGCCGTGGCTGCCCACTTAGCCTCTCCGACTCCACGCGCAGGTATCGTGTTGGACTCCGGGGATGGCGTCACCCACAACGTGCCCATCTATGAGGGCTACGCGCTGCCTCACGCCATCATGCGCCTGGACCTGGCTGGTCGCGACCTCACTGACTACCTGATGAAGATCCTCACCGAGCGTGGCTACTCCTTCGTGACCACAGGTGCGCGGCGCCCCAGGAACCCGGGGCGGGAGGGGCAGCGGGCGCCTGCCCCTAGGACCCTGCGTTAAAGATTCTCTTTGCGCTAAGGATTCTCTTCCTCCTGCCCCTGCCCCCCGCAGCTGAGCGCGAGATCGTGCGCGACATCAAGGAGAAGCTGTGCTATGTGGCCTTGGACTTCGAGAATGAGATGGCCACGGCCGCCTCCTCCTCCTCCCTGGAGAAGAGCTATGAGCTGCCTGATGGGCAGGTCATCACCATTGGCAACGAGCGTTTCCGCTGCCCGGAGACCCTCTTCCAGCCCTCCTTCATCGGTGAGCGCTGGCCCGGGGTCTGCCTCGTCCCCCTCCTTCCCCCACGCCAGGGCCCACGACCCCCGACTCTGCAAGCCTGCTCACAGCTGTTCCGTTCCGCGTCCCCCAGGCATGGAGTCGGCAGGCATCCATGAGACCACCTACAACAGCATCATGAAGTGTGACATCGACATCAGGAAGGATCTGTACGCTAACAACGTCATGTCTGGGGGCACCACCATGTACCCTGGGATCGCTGACCGGATGCAGAAGGAAATCACCGCGCTGGCCCCCAGCACCATGAAGATTAAGGTGGGCAGTGGCCTGCGCCGGTGCCCGCGGGGCTGGGCGGGCTCGGGGCTGGGGCCTCCACCCACCTGACCCGTTGTCTTGCAGATCATCGCCCCCCCTGAGCGCAAGTACTCCGTGTGGATCGGCGGCTCCATCCTGGCCTCGCTGTCCACCTTCCAGCAGATGTGGATCACCAAGCAGGAGTACGACGAGGCCGGGCCCTCCATCGTGCACCGCAAATGCTTCTAAACGCGCTACACCTGCCGCGCGAATTCTCCTCAGGACGACAGACCACTCACGCACCGGTGGCTGACCTAGGGCGCCGCGCAGTAACTTTCTCTGTAACAACTTCCATTGCTGCCACGGCAAACTGACACACTGTTCGTGTCGGGTACACACATTCACTCACCTTACCTCATTTTGTTATTTTTGGAACAAAGCCCTGTGGAAGGAAATGGAAAACTTGAAGAAGCATTAAACTCAGGCATTCTGTCATGCTGCATAAAGTTGTTTGTTGTGTTAATTTCCGGGGCAGGGGACGGGGAGCAGGGTCTCCTTCAAAGGAGCGTGCTGCTTTGAAGACAAACGCTGTCTTCCCGCACTCCCTCGCGGGTGTCCGCTCGGGCTCAGGTCCATCCCCCGTCTGCCAGGCGTCTCAGCTTTGCTCTACCAGGTTATTTCCCTGGCGCGGGCAGGCAGCGGGCGCTGACCAGGGTGCTGGCCCCAGAGCGCACCTCAGAGCGCGCTTCCCTCCCGCTCCACCTAAGCCTTCCGAGTTGAATTTCCAGAGCTAACGAAAAAAGATTGTATTCTGCATTCCCTCGTGCCAGCTTTCATTTGTAGGGAAACGCAGACACCGGCTCTTCCAAACTGGGAAGTTCTTGGCGTAGTGCCAGTCTCTAGCGGTGTCCTCAAGAGCCCCCTGCCCCGGAGGCGGCAAGAGGGGCAGGAGGGGCCCGGCTAAAGTCCTCGCCTTGAACACGCAGGGAATCCCATATGATTCTAATCCCGGCAGCCCCGTTTCTCATCCTGCTCTCTGCTTGTGGCCTGGGAAAGCAGTAGAGGACGGCCCAAAGCCTTGGGACCCTGCACCCACGTGGTAGACCCAGAAGAGCTCCTGGCTTTGGATCAGCATTGGCCGTTGTGCTCACTTGGGAAGTGAGTCATCGGACGGAAGATCTTCCTCCCAGTCTCTCCTTCTCTCTGCATATCTGATTTATTTATAAAAATAAATAAATCTCTTTTTTTAAAAAAGACATTATTTTAAAAGAAAAGAAAGGGAAAGAAAAGAAAAGGAAAGAAAAGGAAAGAAAAGAAAAGGCAGGAGGTCCCAGGTAGCCTTGCACTGAGAACAGAGTTTGGCAGGGTTCAGACACTGAAGGAGGCCGGCCAAGTAACTACAGGGTTACTTGAGAACTGGGTGGTGGGGGGCTGGGGAACATGGCCCCAACGCCAGGGACCCAGAGGCTTAAAAGAGCAAGAGTTTGCATGCTTTACATCCCTGCGGAAGAACATCATCTACTTTGGCAAGCAGCTTATTGTGTCCTAGTCAAAGCTCTCAAGAGAAGCGTTCCTTAACTGAGACTCAACAAACAAATTTGTTTGAAAGCTGATAAGTAAAGCTGATAGGAAGCACCATTATAGGCCACACCGGCCTCTGTCCATTCCCTCCTTTTCCGGCTTTTTGAAATCTTTGATTACTCCAAAGTAGTGACACTATCAAACCCAAGTATCAAGATATTCAATCATTCAAAGTCTAAGGTTTAAATAAAAGGAGTGCATGTGTAATGCCTTGTTTGTGGGATCCTGGATATGGTCCCACCCAGGACGGATAACTTTTGGTCTTCCAGAGGAGTCTTTTACTGATATTTTCAAACATGAACAGGTATCTGATAGGACAGTATGCAAGCACAGTAATCCTGCTAAGCGTTGATAGTAGGTTTGTCTACACAAACACAGCGCACACATGTACACAGCCTCTATAGCTCAGGGAGCAAGCAGTCTGGACGGACATCAGCATTACTCATGTTGGCTAACTGTCCTGTGAAACACTTATTTACCAAATCCCATCACTTCATGGAAAGAAATGAGAGGAGGTAATGATCCATTTCTCCTGTGATCATAATCAGTAAATAACTCTGATATTTCAGAAATGACCATTTTTTAATATAATCTGGTATTATTTCTTGGATCACCGATCTATGTTTCATGGATACCAATCTGTTTTTAAAAACCTACCTTTGGGGCCCAGCACGGTAACCTAGGGCTAAGATCCTTGCCTTGCAAACCCCGCGATCCCATATGGGCACTCGTTCTAGATTCTAACCCCAGTGTCCCTGCTTCCCATTCAGCTCCCTGCTTGTGGACTGGGAAAGCAGTTAAGGACAGCCCAAAGCCTTGGGACCCTGCACCCGCGTGAGAGACCCAGAAGAGCTCCAGGCTCCTGGCTTTGAATTGGCACAGTTCCAGCCACCGCAGCTGCTTGGGGGAATGAATCATCAGATCTTCCTTTCTCTCCTCCTCTCTGTTTATCTGACTTTCCAATAAAAATAAGTAAATCTTAAAAAAAAAAAAAAAAAAAAAACAACCAACCTACCTTTTCAGTACCCTTCCACTGGAAAAAAAATACTGACTTATTTGGTTCCCTGAAAATGTACACAATGTAAAAACTTTTCTTTTCCAATATTTCTCTAAAAAGAATGAGCATCATGCATTTTGTGACATGTTGTCTATCTGCCCTGCTTTTGCATTGGGCTACAATTACAGGTACTTGGTAAACTGTTTCCTGTATTACAAGTGAGTGAAATTTTTTGGTGTCATATTACTTGAAAAAGAATGAGCTTTTTTTTAAAAAAAAAAGACATTCTAGAACATGCACAAATATTTCTGCTACATGAGGATTCTAGCAGGCATGTGAATGTTTGTAGTAGTGAGACACAGAAGTCCCTGCACAGCAGGCTGGGCACCTCAGGAAAAATAATGGGACGGCAGACTCTCCCTTGAAAGCTGTTTCAGACAATCAGTATGGTTGTTCTCTGCCAGTGATCATTCCCAGCCAATCACCCCCAACGCAGGAATACCAGAATGCTCAAATACTCAAATCCTGCACACATCTTCCTGCATCTCTGGATGATAATTCCTAATGCAATGTAATCACTATGCCAATAGTTGTTATAGTGTACTGCTCAAGTAATAACATCAAGAAGAAAAGGAACTGTACAGGAAAGTGCAGACGTAGCCATGGTAGCTCACTACATTTTGTGTCCACTGTTGGTTGAATCTGAATATAGAAAGCCATGGATACACAGAGTGAGACCATATTTAGAACTGTTAAAGCCGCAATACAAATCTGTCCCCAGCCACTGGGCTTACTGGGAAGGTAATGACCTTTACTGGGGAGTTATTTCCTTTTCACAAAAGCTCATTACATTGCCACTGCACTGCCCCCACACCTACTTCTACATCACCAGTATCCAGGGGGAAGAAAACAGGAACAGAGAGAAAAATGGAATAGAGTGTATCAGGATTAAAAGGAAGAATTAGAGCTGAGTGGGAAGAATGGAGTATTACAGAAACGGGGTACACACCTCTCAGGTGTGGAGAACCTGGAATGGATCAGTGAACTGTATCTGCCTACTGCAAGCATGAGCTACGGTACAGAGAATATTAAGTGAGCTATGCTTAGTTCACTGCTGTGATACCATAGAACCTGTAGGAAACTGGCTGCGCAGGAAGCAAGGACATATGCCGGACAAGGAGCCATTCAGATCCTGTGGTGTGACTGCCACAAGGCCGGCTGGCCTTCTGTGCCGCGGTGCTTTCCCGTAAGGCTGATGAAAGGCGGGGATGGGCTCCTAGGAATGACAGCAGCTCCACTCTGTGCCCAGGAGGCCTGACTGAGCCCCTGTCCTCGGAGACACAGGGAGGGAGTTGTACAACTTCACCCCATGTCGCCTCTGCTCCAGGACTAGAGGGAAATGGAAACATGTCAAAGGCCTGAGCTGCCCACGTGGAACACCTGCTCACCTGCTGCCAGAACGTCTCCCTTCTCTATCGTTTCTGTTTCTCTTCTTTGATTTAAAAGCTGAGCAAGGTCTATCTATCTATCTATCTATCTATCTAACTATAGAGAGATGGAAAGGTAGAGAGACAGACAGACAGACAGGGATAGATAGATGTGAGATAGGCTGCAGTTCTCGTTGGTGTGTCTGTTGCCTGCGTCTGGGGGCAGGCCGGCCGGCCGGTCTGTAGCACACACTGGCATGACAAAGAGCCAGGATGGGGTGCAGGCAGGCCAGGGTTGGGCTGCAATACCCACCAGTTCACATGACAGTTGGGGTTGGGCCATGCTGGGTTGGGATGTTTCATCCAACAGTGAGAACTGGGATTGGGAGCTGACTAGGCTGAGCCAAGCTGCAGTACCTGTTGATTTATGCTGAGACTGGGGGATGGGGCATTTCAGACAGGGCTGGAGTACCCACTGGCATGCACAAGAGTCACAGCTAAGAGCAGGCCTGGTAGGGAAACTTTGGGACTCCCCTGGTTGGCCACTGCTTCCATCATTGTTCAGGAGCTGGGATGGGGGAGAGCCAGCCAATCTGAGGACAGGCCTGGCTGAGTTAGGTTAACTCACCCACATGCCGGCATGAGTGTGAACCAGAATGGATGTGGGCCAGCCAGGCTATGCTGCAACACCCATTGGCAAGTGCCAGGACTGAGTGTAGCTACGTCAGTCTGAACCACAGTACACTGCGGCAGGCTCAAGATTCAGGGCTGAGCGCAGGCTTGGTACGGAAACTATGGGCACTTCTCTGCTAGGCTGCAGCTCCTTCTGGGAAGCACAAGAGCCAGGGCTGGTGGCAGACTGGGCTGGGCATGGCAGCAGCACCTGTCAGCATGCATGTGGGCTGGGTCTGGGGCAGATTAAGCTTGACTAAGCTGCAATGCCCACAGCTGTGCAGGAGAGCCAGATGGGGTGTGGGATGGACTGGGCTAGGCTGCAACACATGCTAGCACATGAAAAACTGGGGTTAGGAGTAGATCTACTGGGGAGTATTGGGGTTACCCCAACTGGGCTACAGTTCCTGCTGGTGTGTGTGAAAAATTGGGCCTGTGGTAGGCTGGGCTGAGCTGGACTGCAATACCCATCAGTTCACAGTGAGTGATGGGGCTGGGAGCAGAACTGACTGGGCAGCTGCATCCACTAGTTTCTGGCCTTACATTAGCTGGTGCACGCAGAGTCAAGTCTAAGGACACCCCAGGTGAGGTTTCTTGACATAGGGAAAATCACAATATATGTAGTCAGACCTTGGAGTGCACGTTTCAGGACGGGGTCTCCTCAGCTGCAGATGCCTATGTCATGATGCACATGGGTGACTAGACAGATGGCTCATCTAGGTTAGCAGAGGATGTTGAGTGCCTTGCCAGAGGGTGAAAAACAGACCAGGTTGGACAATTCAACTGGCCAAGCTTTGTAACATGTCCCTGTACCCAGTGCAT